AGAATTTTTTATTATCTTGTTTGTATTAATTAACACATATATTATTAAAAATCTATTTTAATTATATTATTAGAAATTTATCTTAATTATATTATGAAATATTTGTAATTGATTATTTTTTAAGATACCCTTTTAGGTTATTTTACATGCTTGTGAACTAGTTTTTGTCAAACATAATTTGTTCATCAGCTAGCTTATCAGTTGATAACTAATTATTAGCCACCAACTAGCTTATCAACTAGTTTATCAACAATGGCCTTAGAAATAGCTACTTCATTCCCTATGATTTGCAACTTATTGTTATTTTCATATGTGGATTAAACTCTTACCTTTAAGTACAAGCGGCCAAAACTATAAACCACAAGAACTGAAACAACAATAACTTGTAAAATCATAAGAACGAAAATAACAATGAATTACAAACAATAGAAACAAAAACTACAATGTCTCAACCATATACACGAAAATCATAATTTTTAACACACCATAGGAAGAAAAAAAAACGTAATTTACTTTTAAATTTATATCTTATTCATGGAGGAAACTACAAAGTCGGTCCCTGTGGTTTGTGAAAACTAATATTTTTCATTCCTACAGTTTCAAAACTAGAAGATGACCATTGTCGTTTTGCAAAAACGTCCGAATTTGATTTTTCCCTCTAAGGACCGTTAAAAAATTCCCTTAAATAAAAAGTGTTTTCATTATTTTATCGATTTTTTTGTGTTTTCGTCAATAAAAAACCATAAGCACCAAAACCATAAATTCGATTTTGATCGGTAAAGGACAAAAAAACATCTTAAGGAGGAACCAAATTTAGACGTTTTTCTTACAAATCATGATAATTATCTTGTAATTTTGAAACTGAATAAATAAAAATGTTTTTTCTACAAATCACAGTAACCAAAATTTTAATTTTACTCTTAAATTAATTTAAATTTAATAATAAAAATACTCTAAAATTTAATTGAAATAAAGATAATCAATAATTTTATTTTGAAAAACAAAAAAGTACTAAAATTGATTGCTTTTCAGCGGTCGACTCACGTAACGACGATTGGGACAAAAAGTTGTGTCCCAGTCTGACAAACATAAATTTGATTTAGATAAAGATTAAATATGGATTAATAAATCATATTTATCAGGTAGTTTTAACAAGTCTTTTTGGTATGCATCTTATATAAAGATGTTGTAATATGTTTATATCATATTTTTGAATGTTTTTAACAAATTTTTTAAGACAACTTGAAAAATAAAACGTCCAATTAATTTGTTTTCAAGACACTAATGAAAACAAAATGTCATATAAAAATAAACGTCCTATAAAAAAATGTATTTACGAAACACTTTGATAAAAATGTCCTATCAAAAACAATGTTTTAGAAACTTTTTAAGATCCATGAAAGCATTCAATAAACTTATTGTAATGTTTTTACATAGTATGACAGTACGATTAGATATTTGTAAGGTCCAATAAACCTGATTTTGTTGTAGTAAATATTATTTGAGTTTAAAAAAATATTACTAAAATCATCAAATTTATTATATATCTATTCGCGTTAATCAATATTATTATACTTGTTAAGGATCAACTGAAAGAAAACAACAATAGAATGAAAATAATGAATTTGCAATTCTTATTAATAAAAAGCCCTTTTAAATAGAGATGAGATACAAGTAGATAACTACGATAGATATTAGTTATTATTCATCTCTAATATGTTTATATACATTTAGATCGTCATATCTTTTAGACGATAACACACTTATCCTATAACAATACTCTTTTTTTTCTCAATAGAGATAACTTTAATGTCGATCTTTAATCATTGATCAAATTACAGAAAAAATAAAAATACATTATTATGCTGTTCTTTTTTTGTTTTTTGCATTATTATATGACTTTTCCATAATCAAACGAAAACTAGAAAATATCCAATATATGGGCGACATGCTTGCAAATGGAATACACTTTATAAAAGAGGAAAACCTAATGTCAAAAAGGGAACATTCTTTGTTCGTTTTACAACACTTCTCTTATTGGTTAACTCTGGAGTATATGTTTAATTTGTATCTTGTTAGATATGAGGATTGATGATCGTATGCAAATTGGATACTCGTTTAGATCGTGTATGTTTGTTTTTTTAATATAATAATTCGACCTTTTTTAGTTATGGGTATCACGAATTTCGTATTGAAATGGAAATTCTTATTAGGAAACGTAAGGTTGAGTCGTTACATGCATTAAGATTCCACGTTTACATATTTATATGAGAGATCGACGGTTATGAGGGGATTAGGTAGTTAAAACGTAACCATATGACAGTTACAACCGTTAATAGACAACATCAAACTTCAGTTACAATTTGACACAAAAGCAGCTCTGAGCCAAAAGTACCAAGTTTAGAGGCAAGAGTTTAGAAGAACCAACTTCAGAAGGCTCAAAGAAGCTATGAGCTCAAAACTCAAAGGCTCTGAGCAGAAGTCTCAGAAGCTTTGAGTCCGAAGGCTTTTAATTTATACTTAATCAAAATTTCATAAAGTTCTGGAACTACTTCAAGAAGATTTCCAACATTCTGAATTACATCCAAAACGTCCTGAAACTTAAATTTCCTAAGTAAACTCTTCATCCAAAACGTCTCGTTCAGCCCGTTGTCCTTAGGACCCAGCAAGGGGGCTCAACCCCCTTGACCCCCCCTCTTATGGCGATTTAAGGTAATACAGACAATATTTATAGGTGTGCGCTCCACACCTTCTAACTCACTTTATATTTGTCTTGCCACTTAATCGATCTCAAGTAAATCACAACATCACCAAAATGATTGATAGCACTCAATTTACCACAAAAGTTCATACAACGTAAATGATGTTTAAATGTCTTATAGACAACTTTATAGGACTTAAGTTTATAGGACCAAACATTTATGTATGCTATCTAAAGTAGTTTATATAGGGTGCGTTTGGTGCGCGGACAGGACAGGACAGGACAGGACAGGACAGGACAGGTGTTCAGCGTTTGGTAAGACATAA